GAGGCCCATTTCTTTTGCCAAGGCTCTACGTGCAAAAAAGAGCAGCCAGTGAAGTTCTGGGTCACGGAGACCTGGGGCACACACGGGGAGACGGAGATCGGCCATGGCAGTCGCAGCACTGACTGACACCACTGACCTTGGCCGGCAAGGTCAAATCAGGATTTCGTTTTCTTCCCCGGAGAGCTGGTTGTTAAAACCCTTGCCAGCCCACCACTGACCGAAAGAACCACTGAGAGACGGGCAGCCCATCTACTTGCCCCCCGAAAACCGGGGAAACCCAAAACAGACCCCCGAGAAGGGGAAGAGGAAGCAGCTCTTACCGCATCTGGATATCAATTCTTTGAGCTAGTTTTCTCATCTGTTCTTGGCAACATTTTAGCAAATCTACTTCCTGCAATGAAAAATGTCAAAAAGAGCAGTGCCCCTTAGAAAGTCACTGCACCCCGGCCTCCCAGGCGAGTGACCCCACCCCTACCTCTCGCCACCCACCCTTGACTCCCCTCCCCCCTCAAGGTGAAATGTCAAGGTGGGGTCCATTTCCTGCCTCATCCCACCTGATCCCCGGGCCAGACAGGTAAGGGTCAGCTCTGGGGGCTCCACATTCCTCATCTTACTTTCTTCCTTTTTTATACACTTCCCGGTTAGAAGAAAATTGAGCATCTATGTGCTTACGTGCCAAGTGCTCATTTGTAGACTGTTTTATCATTACATTCAAAAATGCATATGAAATGGTACAGTGTGTGACATAGAGTAGGTGCTCCACAAACGCTATCTTTACTATTGTTATTATCGGTATTACTATGACGACGCCCATTTTGGAGATAAAAACTGAGGGTCCCATGACTTCACTTCTCCCTGTTCCCCATGCAGTGCAGGCCCCCAACAATGCTTTCTGAGCCCCGACTTTGCATGGGGTGACACGTCGCTTCTGCTCCTGGCAGGCAGCTCAGAAACCTGTGACCAGCTGGTCAGGAGGTTTCCTCCCTCAGGAGGCTGGGCAGACCCAGGAGGCATCTTACCCGGATAAGGTTTTTCTCCACATTGTCATGGACCAAATCGATCCCGATCCTTTTCTCTCGATGGTACAGACACTCCAGAGCAACCTGTAGGGAGCAGCCGGAAAGAGCGTGTTTCCCCTGCACCCATATGCAGACCCTGACCGCAGGTGACTCACATCCATTTTTGCCGTGATCTGCTTTACCCCAGGAAACCTGGATGCTCCGTGTGGCCTCATCACTGTGCCTGTGGGTGGGCTTCACCTCACCTTCCCCCTCTGTGGGGACCGCGGCATGCCATGCCTGCCGATGGGTAGAATACGGGGGCATATCTCCCAGGTTTGCCATGTGGATTAAGCCGGCTCGACAAATGTAAAGAACCCAGAATATGCTCAATAAATATTACCTATGAATGTATGTGAAAGTCCCTTTTTGGAGATCTGTAAATGGGGTGGGGATGGGGCTTTGGAATGTGACCAGGGCCAAGTGGGACCCTGTCACACAGCCACGCACCCTGCAACGGTCGTGGGGCCATGAGTGGCGTGGAACAGAAGATGGGAGAAGGGGTTGCTCAGGGGAGCTCCTGCAAAGAGAGGCTGAGAAAGCCTGGTGATTGGGCCACGAGCCTATGATGTCACAAAGAGTAGCAAGAGGGAGAAGGAAGCAGGGGAGCACCACATCTTGGTGCTGGGATGCAAATGCATCTGGGAACTCAGGAGGGGAGAGGGGTTCACTGATTTCACAAGAATTTCTTGAGCCCCTTTTCTGACCACACCCCATCAAGGTGCTAGGGAGACCACAATCAACCTGATCGGAGGGTTTCCACACTAACGGAGCTCAAAGAGACAGGAGAGAACACACACAAGTAAACACACAAAGAGGTGCAATCATTTCTCATTCGGAGGAGGGCTTGGATGTGAATAGTCAGGGGGATGTAGGTGGGTGGGGAGCAACCAGTAGGGGGTTGGCCGGGAAGGACTTTGCTAAGGAGGTGACAGACCAAGACATGAATTATCAGAAGCAGCAGAGATGAAGGGGAACAATGTGCCAGGAAGAGGGAACAGCAGGTGCAAAGGCCCTGAGGTAGGAAGAGTAAAGAGGAAGCCACTGGAACTAGAGAAGGTGAGGCTGGAGTGGTGAGCAGGGCCTGGGCTGTGCAGGGGCTGGAGTGGGTGACAAGGAATTTGGATGTTAACAGGGTGCATTGAGGGGGGTTTTAGTGAGGGAGTATGGAGACCCAGTTTCATATTTAAAATCGCCCCCTCTGGGGGCACCTGGGTGGCTCAGTCGGTTAAGCGACTGCCTTCGGCTCAGGTCATGATCCTGGAGTCCCGGGATCGAGTCCCGCATCGGGCTCCCTGCTCGGTGGGGAGTCTGCTTCTCCCTCTGCCCCTCCCCCCTCTCATGCTCTCTCTCTCTCATTCTCTCTGTCTCAAATAAATAAATAAAATCTTTAAAAAAAAATAAATAAATAAAATCGCCCCCTCTGGCTGGAAGATGGGTGGGAGGGGGGCGGGAGAGAGGAGGACAGGAAGGAGGCACCATCACTGTCCAGGAGGAGGGGGGCAGCCCTGGAGACAGGGAGAAGTGGAGCAGAGAGATCTCTGGTACCCCCCCCAAGCCACCACGTGACTGTCAGAGGAGCTGCGCCAGTGACCAGACAGAGCTGGGTTTCCCAGACAGGCTGGAGGGGTGAGGAGAGCAGAAGAGGACAGCAATAGGTTTTGGATGTCGCCTCAGGTCCCCCTGCCCACTCTCCTCTCAGGGGAGAAACTTGGGGGGCAGAGGGACACAGTAGAAGTCCCCATAATGGCAGGGAGGGGCTGTGCCATGTCTCCTGAGGGATCTGGAAACGCAGGATGTTCCCTTCCAGAAAACTGACATATCCTGACACAGTTGGCACAGGGCGCCCTTTGCCCTGCCCCTATCTTCCTGCCTCAAATGAGATCAATATGTTCCTTGCAAGTAGGAGCTTGCAATAGGAGATATGAAATCTCCTCGCGAGCAGTAGGACAAAAGCCACAAGCCGAGGACGGCAGAGCAGAAAGACAGGCGCCTGGGTCCCCTCCCCTCCAGCATTGAGTGGAGGCTGCAGCAGCCTGCTCTGTTTCCTTCTGGAATTCTCATCACGACTTGGCTGAGCCTTGGCTGAGCTGCAGTCAGGTGTCCGTTACATGCCGCCAAAAGCAGCCCTAGCTGATCCGGGATATGACTGGAGACCAAGGAGCGTCGAGCATGTCCGCATCCAGATACGTATTCGTTTACTCAACAAATACTTACTGAGTGCCTACCACATGCCAAGCACTGTAGGAGGCTGGGAAGACATTCAGAACACTGACCCAGACAACGGGCGATCAGCCAACGGAGGACCAACACAGACACGCTGCCCAGCACAGCGGAGGATCTGTCTGGAACACGCTGGTGACAGAGCAGACAAAAATCCCCACCCTCGTGGCACTTAGATTCTAGCTCAGGCAGCAAAACAATAAATAAATACATGCATAAGTTAGAGAGTATGTTAGAAGGTGTTAAGGGCTATGGAGAAAAATACAGCAATTATTTTAAGTATATCCCTCTACAGAGTGCCCTGCGTGCACGCATCCACACGCACACACAGGCACGTGCGGAATGTCTGGATAAAACCTCTGCAGTTCTGATGTAACCCCAAGGAGAAAAGGAAATCTGGTTCAGTCTGAGGAACCCCGATTTGACTGGGATAATCCTGGGCTATAGGAACTGATCGCAGATGATGATGCATCGCGAGCCAACCTGCAAAGTGCCCGTGGCCTCGACCTTCCTTGGAGAGGAGCGGAGCGCCCAGGGCTGCCCTCCCAGCAGCTGCCATGCCCCCTCCTCACCCACACTCACCTGCAGCGGACAGTTGAGCTCCTCGGCCACACACTCCAGCCGCCTCTTGACTGTCTCCAAGCTGCGGTTCTCGTTTAGGAGCCTCTCCAGCTCGTAGCCCAGCTCAGACTTCCAGAAGCCAATGTCGGACAGCCTCTGGCCCAGGTTCCAGCTGGTCCCCTCCTGCATCTGGCGGGTCAGCTGGTCCTTGTCCTGCATGAGCCGCATGGAGTCGCCGGTCAGCCGGCTGGCCCACAGCCTTGAGGCCTCGGCCCCGCGCATCTGCAGCTCATTGGACCTGTCCCAGTCGTGGGGGCTGTAGCGACAGAAGAGAGCGGAGCGGAGCGCGGGCAGGATGGTGGGTGGCCTCAGGGCGCTGCGGCACATCGCTCCCTCATCCATGCAGGTTTGGGCATTGGAGATCTTGTAGAAGAGGCTGGGTCTCCATGAGTTGAGGTAGCGGTACCCAGGCAGGTAATAGGGCTGGTAACATTCCTGGATCTCCGGGGCCGGCACGGCCGGGGGCAGGGCACTGAAGCCACAGGCTTTCTTGGGGCCACAGTAACTGGCGGTCTGGGTGGTTCCAAGAAACTCCATCCTCCCCCAACAGCTGCCCTTGGGCAAAACTCTGAGGGGCCAAGGCCCGGCAGGAAGGGGAAGGATCTTCTCTTAGGGATGGGCCAGACCTCTATGACTCGGCACTGTTGTCATAAAGCCTGGGGGAGTGGGGCTTTACTGGGGCCCTTGTTCATTTCAGGCCGGTTGGAGCCATATTGTCCCAATCGAAACGCACGCAAAAAAACAAAGTGAAGGGGAGTTTCTCAAGCCGCAGAGTTGGAGGTGTAAGAAATGGCATTGATCTATTTTTCCCTAATAATCAGATCAGCCTCTCACGCCTAACTGTACCTCTGGGAGAAAATGTGGTCCACTCCAGTAAACTCTGTCAGCCCAGGGACCATCTGGTCGAGGTTAGCTGTTTTCCTCCCCTCTTTGTCCCCAAGACGGCACCAACGTGGAGCGTCCAGGGCATGGAATACTCAGCAATAAATAATACTCAGCAATAAAAAGGGAATCTCAAATGGATTAAGCCAAGTAGAAGCCACTAGACTCAAAAGACCACATCCTGTAGGATTCCACTTAGATGGCATTCTGCAAAGACAGATTCACGTGGACAGAAGACAGACCAGGGGCCCCCAGGGGCTGGGGGTAGGGGAAGGTGGACTGACCACAAAGGAGCAAAGGAGCACGGGAAAACGCGGGGGCGGTGATAGCAGCATTCTCTGTCTTGACTGTGGTGGGGAGTACACAGCTCCACGTATTTGTCAAGACCCACAGAGCTGTCCACTAGAAAAGGTAAATTTTACTGTACATAAGTCGTATTTCAATACACCTTAACTCAGTTAACTCTACCAATGGTTTTACCCATCAAGAAACCTGCCCCCTCTTGAGCTGGTGGGAGTGGCAACGAGATCTCAAGGTTCAGAACGAGAGGGGTACTTGATGTGTGGGGCCTTTCCCCTTTCTGATATGGGAAAAAGAAGAACCTAACCCTCAAGCAAGTGGTCCTTGTTAGTGAAGTGTGATGGTCAAGGGGAATTCTCTCCCTAATTATGACCGAAAACAGTGGCTATAGAGTACCAAGAGGAAAATAACATTAAGCACCTTCTGTATGTCTGATGTTTACATATACTCACTGAATTCCCACAGAGAACCTAGAACTAAGCCTTGACGCCCACCCCCATCTTATAGGGTGGGCTCTGGACCCCCTCCACATCTACAACGCTTTCTTTTGTAGGATCCTTTAAGATGAGACACCACACACGGGAAGTGGTTACACATCCAGGGCAGCCAAGAAATGGACCAAAAAGGTTCAGGGTATGTTGGAAGCATGAAAGGTTCATGTCCAAAAATAACAATGTGACCAATATCTAAGGGTATAAAGTAAGATTTAGATTTTTCTCATCGCCCCTAGCTATGTCCAGTCTTCCTCGATATAACTACTACAATCAGATTTTCCTATTTTTTTCCAGAGATCGTGTATGCAGATACAAGCAGATTCTGGTTGAGTTGGGCTGGGGCAGGCCTGGAGATGCTGAATTTCTTACAAGTCCCCAGCGGAGGCCAGTCCAGGGACCACACTTGGAAAAGTGAGACTCTGAAATGAAAGGACTTTGTCTGGATTTTCGTTGTCATTGCATCCACGGCACTTGGTAGAATACCTGTAACATAGCAGGTGCACAATTGGGGTTTGTTGAATGAATGAAAAAAATGGATGAGTGGGTGGGTGGGTGGGTGGATGAATGAAGCAGCAGAACGTCAGAAGCTATTAAATGAGAAAGGTCAATTGAGAACAGTTGGCTATAGCTCAACGGAAAAAGGAATGGTAAGCCTGCCCACCCAGTCCAAAAGACTCAAGGAATCAACTTCTAAAAATTTAGCAAGTGAAAAATACTAAAAGTAAGGCCTTTGGAGTATAACTCTGACTTTTAGCAGCGCCTCGCCAAGGGAGGGGCCGTGGCATTTCCAAGGTTCATCCATGTCATAGCAGGTACTTTATTCCTTTTCGTGTCGGAATAATACTCCATTGTGTGATGAACTACTCTTGTGTTTCCATCCATCTGTGGATGGACGTTTGGACATTATGAATAATGCTGCTGTGAACATTCGTGTCCAAGTTTCCAATCCTCTTGAATATATATCAGGGAGGGGAACTGCTGGGTCCTGTGATAATTCTGTTTAAGATATTGTTGGGTTTTAATAAAATATAAGTTTCTAATTAGCCCATTTTTATTGCTTATTCTCTATTGAACAGAGTATACGTAGAAGTTAATTCAGAGGACCCCTAGCCCCGGGGTTCAGTCAGCCCCAACACATGCAGGCTCCCTACATTCTGTTTTGAGAGTAAGCTCCTAATGCTTGGGAATCAGTAGGCACTCTCTTTGGGTGCAATTTTCGTCTCCAACCCCTTGGGGTGTTTTGCACCCCTCTGTTCAGACAGTAGACTCGAGATATACAAGGAGAGCCCAGATGGGAAGAAACCAGAACTTGGTTACTTCCCTATTCCGTCATTCTGTGTGACCACTCGTGCCCAGAACGGACAACGGTGAAGGACAGCGTGACCTTCGAGGTGTGATATTTTTATTTGGAAAGTGGGCATTTTAGTTCATACATGAACTCTTTTCTAAACTCAGTGTCTTTGAAACTGAAAGGTAATCTCTGTATTTGTCCGTTGTATCCAAACTAACAGGAATGAAACTATTACCCGAAATACTGTTGTATAGAGGGCAGGGGTGCTAAAACAATTATCTACCTCAGTAGGCAAATACGCTAGAGATTAGAGAGACCTCTCATCCACCACAAGTATTTTTTTTTCCAGTCTCTTTTAAAGCATGCAGATAGGAAAATGCATTCTCTTTCTGGAATCTGTTGGAAGTGGATGGGGAGAGGCACTTGAGTGAACCCCTTCCCCCCCACCAGTGGGGCTCCCCATCATCTGCCAGGTCTGCCCCCCAAACTGGAGACACCACACCCAGCACCGACTATTCTACCACAATCTCTGCCTGCTCTTTCGAGATCGCTGCCTGACTCCCACGGGCCATGAAGTGGACAGCTTCTCGTCTGTGAATTTAATGGGAAGCCCAACAACCTATGGAAGAAAAGCACTTAGACTGTCTTACTCAGGTGATGGCTGGAGCAGCAGCGTCCCACAGAACTTTCTGCAGCCATCAAATCAAATCGGCAAGCATTCCTTGGACGCCCCCTGTGGGTAGGCAGGGATCTTGCACCTGCACCTGCTTGGCAGCCAGAATTGGGGACTGGAGGTGGCTCCAAGCCGTGCTTAGAAAAACAGCAAAATAGGGACACACGCGGGGCGAGGGGCACAGAAAATCCGGAAAGAAGCTGCTCATCATCTATGTCAGATTGTATCATTCAAAACCCAAACCTGCATTTCACAATAAAGCATGTTCCCCCAACTTTGAATTAAAGAAGGATATCTTTTGGGAGCTTAGAGCACCAGCCCTGGCTGGTGTCTAATAACCCAGCAATCTTTCTGGAAATCTCCCCATAGATACATGCCTCCATGAATGCTAAATGCGTGCACACGGGGCCGTGTGTTCACTGCTGCATTGATCATAGCAACAAAGAAAGGCAGAACCAACTGCGGCCCCTCAATACGGAATGGCTAACATAAAGAGCCATAGTTTTTATGGCTTTTATGCTTTAATGCAGCATAAAAAGAAGATGGACCTGTAATTGTTGATAAGAATTAATTTATAAAATAAAAGTGAAGAAAAGCAAGATACAAGACAGTTTACATGGTATGATATATATGTGTAACTTGTACACATGGAAACGCTTCCAGAAGGATACACAGGAACCAGCGTTAGGGTGATTACCCTTAGGGGGGACAAGAGTGGAATTGAGGGGTGAGGGTGAGGGACACAGAGGGAGGCTTTTACTTTTTGGTTAAGCCTTCCATATATATATATATATATATACATACACATTTGCAAGATTTTATTTTAATGTATACATAGTATGTATTTCGCAGACGCTCATGTATATAGTATAGACAGTCTAGTGGGTATTATATATATCTTTCATACTTATACCCTAGTAGGACTTCCACTTCTGGCTAAGATTGGATAATAGAGATTGGCTCTACCCTCCCAACTGAAACAATTCAAAAACACTCAAAATATATAAAGCAATGATTTCGAAGTCACTGGACATCAGGCCATGAAGGAGAGTCATCTCTAAGGGACAAGAAACAAATGAAGCAAGTCATACAATTACCCCAGCTCACTGCCTGGACAAAGCTTCCAGGCCTCGGCGCAGGGACGGGGAGCTCCTTGAGTTGAGGAGACAGGGCTGGGAATGCGGGACACCAGTGTGGCTAGGGTCTGAAGGACAGAGTGCCAGAGAGGAGAGGGCTACCCAAAGTGAGCTCTGGAGATATGCAGAGGGTCCCTCTTAGCAGAGCATCACTGGGGCTGGTACATGAAGACACCACCCTGGGCTGGGGAGGAATCATCCCGAAGGATTAGAGGGAACAATCCCCAGAGCTCCCACGGGGCTGGGAATAGCTCTCCATCCCACCAACCACAGTAGACAATTTCATAATTTGGGCAGCATCAAGTCCAATACTCAGAAGGGTCTTTGCCTCAGGGTTAGGGCAAAATTAGCCCCGGATGTAATGCCTCTCTGGTCCTGTCTAGTGAAGCTGAAAAGCCCGATCTCAAAAGATAAAAAAATGTTTCCAGTCAATTAGCCCTGCCCCCAGAGAAAAGATCAAGAATAATGGTGAAAAGAGAAAATTTTTCAGCACTCAGTAAGGTAAAATTCACAGTGCCTAGCATCTAATAAAAATTACCAGGCAGGCAAAGCAGCAGGAAAATATGAACTCAAGAAGCTAGACCACAAATAGGACACAGTGAGCAGAGACATGGCAGATACACACACACACACACACAAACTGAATTGAACATTGGAAGATGGAACGACAAAGTCTGAGATGAAAAATACACAAGATGGGATTACAGGGGTGTTTCTTTCAGCCAGGGCTGCCATAAAGTACCACAGACTGGGGGGCTTAT